AGGCAGTGACAGCTTTTACCTTCTTGGGCTCCATAATCACTGCAGATGTAGACAGCAGCCACGAAATTAAAAGACGCCTTCTTCTTGGGAGGAAAGCAATGACAATCCTTGACAGCATCTTTAAAAGCAAAGACATCACCTTGCCGACAAAAGTCCGAATAGTCAAAGCTATGGTTTTTCCTGTCGTGATGTATGGATGTGAGAGCTGGACCATAAGGAAAGCTGACCGCCGAAGCATTGATGCCTTTGAATTGTGGTGCTGGAGGAGGCTCTTGAGAGTCCACTGGACTGCAAGAACAAACCTATGCATTCTAAAGGAAATCAAACCTGAGTGCTCACTGGAAGGACAGATCCTGAAGCTGAGGCTCCAGTACTTTGGCCATCTCATGAGAAGAGAAGACTCCTTGGAAAAGTCCTTGATGTTGGGAAAGTGTGAAGGCAAGAGGAGAAGGGGACAACAGAGGATGAGATGGTTGGACAGTGTCATCGAAGCAACCAACATGAATTTGACACAACTCCAGGAGGCAGTGGAAGATAGAAGGGCCTGGCATGCTCTGGTCCATGGGGTCACGAAGTGTCGGACACGACTAAATGACTAGACGACGACTGTATTCAGAGTGTCTTATTTTTGGGCTTTTGAAGATGTAATCTCTGATCCTTTTTAATTGTGATTCACATGGCAGCCTTAAACTAGGCAGTAACTGAATCCTATAGAACTTAATGAAACTTGGAAAGAACATACTTAATATGCGCTGTTAATGCTAGTGGCTGTTTTTTTGTTAAACAAGGTCAGCACTGACACTTCCCCTGAGTACCATTATTGGGGAAGTGAGTTAATGTGAGATAGGAACTTAAATTTTCATGACTGGCTTCTAATTACTGAATCACCGTATATTCTTGCATATTCATACTTTACAAAATATATTCTGCACTGTTAATACAAAGCAGGCAGTGAATCAAAGATGATTTACGTGAAAATCGTGTTTACATACTTTATGCTAAAGTTACCTGAAATATTTGAATTACAAATTCATGAGGTTATGTCTGTTTCTGCACAGTTTTAAATCTAACACAGATTAATTAGCCAGATCCTTTCCTTCAAATAAAAAGGAGCTTATTGTTTGTCCTACTGTCCTATTTTGGGTGCAACAATCAACAAAACATAGGTACAAGCCAAGCGATGATCAGAGTAAACGTAAAATAGGAGATACACTCAACAAATAGTATCATAGGTAATGGGTTAAATTGGAAATTTCCAAAAGATATCTTGCAACGGCAGATGTAATCCGCGGGCAAGAATCATTCAGGAAAAAGGATAGGGAGTTGGGCAAAAGAGAAAGCCACGGTTCGAGAAACAGCTTTCTCAGAGATGAATGCGCCGGGCAATGAAATAAAATATGGTCCAGGGAATCTGGGAGGGTATGACAGAAAAAGCAGAGCCTATTTGCACGGGGGATCTTAGCGAATCGGCCTGCATGAACCGCCGAAGGGATTGACTCCCTAAATGAACCACAGCCTTGAGTTTGCAGGAGCTGAACAGGACTGTTAAGGACAGGATGGTTTCAACATATCTTATTCACAGGGTCACCATAAATCAGAATCGTCTTGACAGGACATAACAACAACAATTATTTCTTCTAATTCACTAGATTCTAGGGGAAAAGGGGGATAACTCATAACGTTTTTTCATTCAGGTTTTATGGCTCTACGTCTGGGATGTCTTTGCTCTGGTTTTCCTGGGAATTGGCTTGGATGATCCTTTGGATCTTTTTGTGCTTCTTTTTTTTATGTTCCCGTGCTTTAGATACATAAAAACAAGTTCTAGTTGTTGTTTTTTTTAAAAAAGTTCTTATGGAAAGCACTGCATGATGCACATTGTACTGTTTTTAATAAAAGGTTTTTCAAAGGTTTAATGTGTCTCATTACTGCTTGCATATCTTGAAAATGTAGGCTAGTATTCAGTTGTGGAAAGGAAGTTAAAGGAGCACATTCCCCATTCCATCAGGCTCTCCCCATTGCTTGACATAACCGTTCCGGCAACCAATCTGAGAATGGACTTGAGGAACCTGCCAGAGCAGGGAAAGGCTCTTTTGCTGTTTCTCTTCTTGTTTGGGCAAGATGATATTAGCTTTATTTTGTTTGCAAAAACAACTAATTCTGTGAGGAGTCTTGTCCTTAGGTGCATCTGTGAGGAGCAGTGCTTCACATGTCAAAGGAGCTGACATTGCTGAGTTTCATATTGCTTATTGCAGACTGTTACAGTTACAAAATTAAAGCTTCTATATAGCAATTATCCATCATCACAACACCTTGCGGAATTTCCAAAAAAGTAGCTCTGGGATCTAGTCACAGCTTGTGAAATTTCTTTCTGTTGGTATATTGTCTCCATGCTTGTTTGAAAGGAAATTGGCTAGATCTGGGTGTGATTATGTATATTACATCTACTTTGTTTCAGCACATTTGGTCAGAGTTGTTTGTGTCTTTGCTTTCTTCAGTCTTGTAAAGCATGTCTCCGATTGGTCTCTGCTCTGGGTGTCTTGGAAAAATAAGCAATTTAAGCAATTATTTGGGACAGGCATGCTTTTAAAAAGCATCTATGAAGGGACTTGGCACTAGGCAAGTGTACAAGATCCAAGAATTGTGCCTTTGGATTTTGGATTTAACTCATTGTTTAGCATTTCTTTTTAAATTGAAAGTAAGTTAACTCATTGTTTAGCATTTCTTTTTAAAAGTATATGTCATCATTGGAACAGCTGCATAAGAAATACAAAAGAAAGGCAGGCATTACAACTAGAAACATGCTGTGTGGCTTTTCAGAATATATGAAGTATATTATTTTTCAATTGAATTGATATTACTGATGTGTTGACATTCTTATTACCGTGTTTCCCCGAAAATAAGACAGGGTCTTATATTAATTTCTGCTCCGAAAGTGCATTAGGGCTTATTTTCAGGGGGTGTTTTGTTTTTTTCATGTGCAACCATCTATACAGTATTTAAATGCAGTTGTGTCATCTTCTTCTGGTTGCTGCACAATGGTGGAGGGCGGGGTTTCACTATGCTAGGGCTTATTTGGGGGGTAGGGCTTATATTAAGAGCATCCTGAAAAATCATACTAGGGCTTATTTTCAGCTTAGGTCTTCTTTCTGGGAAAACAGGGTAGTTCCAGCTAAGTATTTCTGGAAGGTGGAGTATTGGAAATTGTTGGCTGAAATCCTCTTACCTAGTTACAGTTGTGTACCACAAACAGTGTAGCTTTTGGAGGCAAATTGCCCTAAGTTAAGAAATTGTTGTATGACTCAGCGTGCAACTGATAATGTCTGAGGTATGACTCAGCATGCAACTGATAATGTCTGAAATGATTTCTTAACTTGAGGTAATTTGCCTCTGAAAGTCATGCCATTTGCCTAGCTACTCAAGAAGATTTTGACCATTGTTTTCAGTGCAACACTTCCATTAATCAATTAACTCTTTTGTGACACACACATTTAAAGAAGGCTTTTTTCTCCTGATAGATGATGATGATGATGATAGTTCATCACAGTTATCACAGAAGGAACCCCAGGTTTCAACAGATTCAGGTAAGCAGTGTTTTATTATACTGAGATTATTTTTGTGGAATAAGAGTTATACTGTGGCCATTTTCTGTTTGCAAAACATTATTACAATCCAGGTTCAGGGAATTGGCAGAAGAAACATAGTAAGCTATAAGTGCTAATATGCTCAAAAATTCAGCTAGCCAGTTCTTGATATTGTACCAGAGAATAATCCAGATCTTGGAAATAACATGTAAGGATTGACAGGTTAATAATAAACTCACTTTTTGGCCAAAGCCAGGTAAGGATTGACAGGTTAATAATAAACTCATTACTTTTTGGCCAAAGCCAAAACAATGGTCTTAAAAATCTAATCTTTGAAAATAACATTTCAAAAATAAGTTTCATGCGTTTTAGTCATTAAAATGTTCAGTTTGGTATGTCCTTTGCAGAAAGCATATGTCCAGACCCCTATTCTCTTTCAATATCAGATTTGTAATAGGTAGCCCACCCTTGGCTGTATAAATGCCTGTAAGACCAAGAAGCCTTACTTAATGCATCCAAAAGTCTATTGAATTTCTCAAGATTTCTGAGGGACACAGTCTAAGATCAACATGCAATTCAAGGTTGGAATCATTGTCCTATAAAAACTCAATTTGCCACCTCCAATTTTAATCCTTTGGCATAATACTATAAGAAGCTTTGATAGAAAATATAGTCTTGTTCAAAACCTGGGTTGCAGCCTGTCTATCCTTCCTCTGGTGGTTTTGAAATCATAGTGACCAATTCCTATTGTATTTCAGTCAATTTAACATGACTGGCCCACAGCTGAAAATAAAGTATACTGGCTTCAGTTTTCCATGGATAACTCTTATAAATAGTGTTATCTGACACAAAACAAAAAAGAGCAGCAAGCTGAAGCTGAGATGATTTGCGTGATTCTGCTCCTAAGTGTCTCTAATAGACAGTCTATAGAAGCATTCCTCTGTTAATATGAAGGGTCTTTTTGTGCAGTAGAACTTCTGTATCTAGAAAGGGTGACTTAACTTTCTGAAGTTTCAAAAATTGTTATTTATTTATTTATTCTATTTATACCCCGCCTATCTGGTCATTTCAACCACTCTAGGTGGCTTACAACTTAAAAACATAACATATAAGAAAAACTATTACACAATAAAAAGCAGTTTAATCTGGGGATGGGAAGTATTTTGCCATTTTGAAGATTCTTGATACCCAGTTTACCCATTTTGTGTTTCATGAGAGTCATTGTGAGAAAATGTGCACCTTATCTCAGAAATCTGAACATTTGTAAAGCTTGCAGTATACAGTGGTGCCTCGCATAGCGAGGTTAATCCGTTCCGGATTAACCCTCGCTATGTGAAAACATCACTAAACGGATCATAAAAACCCATTGGAACGCATTAAACATCGTTTAATGCGTTCCAATGGGCCCTAAACTTACCGTTCAGCGAAGTTTCCTCCATAGCAGCAGCCATTTTCGCGCCCTCGGTAAGCGAGGGGAGGGCGCGAAAGCTCTGCGTGCGGCCATTTCAGGCGTCCAGCGGCTATTTTAGAACCGCCGAACAGCTGATCCGTGGGCATTGCAAAGCGAAGATCGGTAAGCGAAACGCTTACCGATCGTCGCTATGCGAGTTTTGCCCATTGGAACGATCGGTATGCCTCCGCATTAGCGATCCCAAAAAGGGGATCGCTATGCAGATTCGTCGTTGTACGGTGCTCTTGTTAAGCGAGGCACCACTGTACTTCAGAAAAAAATAAATATACAGAAAATTCATGGGTACATTAAAAAATGAAATGTTGAAACTTGCATACAATTGAAACATGTACACAAACTCACTTTAGTTAAAGAGAAAAGTGTGAACGTGCATAAAGAAATACATGCTTTACAGAAAATGAGTACAGAGAATTGGTACAAATTTCTATTTCAGAATTTAAAAAATTAGAAGTCTCACAACCTGATATAAACAAAGGATGACATGGGAATGTGCGTGGAATTTGGAGAATGCAATGAAACAGAATGAGAATTTTTAACATTTCTAGTGTAATCTATGGCAGAAAGATAAGGCAGGAAGGAGACTGCCATTTGAGTAAAAAATAACTAAAACTGTAAACCTGTAGATGTTTCTTTGGACGTTAGTCCCATGCAGTTCTGCAAATATTGTTTTCAAGGAATTGAAACACCTACATGTTTAGTAGGTGTGACGGAACCCTCAAATATTCTACCTAGGGACAACAGAAAGAAAGTGATTGAATGGAAGATGTCAGAAAGGAGATCCTGTCAAGAGATGCCAGAAGAAAGAGAGAAGATAAGACAGAGAGAGAAGGCGTTAGACCAGGCTTGTCCAACCTGAGGCCCGAGGGCCGCATGCGGCCCAGGTCAGCTCATAATGCGGCCCAGTGCAATTTTTTAAAAAAGAAATTCCAAAGTTTCAAGTTACACTGCCGGTGCCTGCGGCCGGAATGTGGCCGGGGCATGTCACGACAGTAGAGGGAGAGGGAAGGAAGGAAAGAGTGGGAGGGGAGGGGACAAGGGGGCTGCGTGACTGCATTGCGCCGTCCCCGTCAATAGCTGGACCCCATCCCGGCCCCATAAAGCCGCCGAAGTTGAAGCTGGCAGCCTCTGCTGTCTGAGATCGCAGCTGCCGGTAAGCGTGCTTGGAGTGGGGCTGCGGAGGACGGCTAGGGCTGCCCCCCCCATGCGGCCCAAACCAAATGTATGTGCGGCCCAAACCAAATGTTCATCTTCTAATGTGGCCCAGGGAAGGTGAAAAGTTGGACACCCCTGCGTTAGACTGTACCTAAGGACAGGAGTTTGGGTTTCCCAGGGAGCTGTATACAGTAATATAATTACTTTGTAACAAAGGGAGCTAGTTCAGGCCTGGGAAAGTTGATTGTTACAGCACATGTAACTTCATACCAACTGTTTGTCATCCTCGTTGTAACTGTTACTTTTTTAAATTAAAGAACTTAATCTTATGTTTCAAGTTTAAAAACCACTTGGCTCTTATAACTTCAGCTTAAAGCAACCCCAGGGAAAGGAAAGGGCAAAAGGTGATTAGCCAAGCTGGTCACATATTTCGTGGCAGTGTTGTGAGATCAGGCAAATCCAGTGAAGATTTTGAAGAATCTGGAGAGGTCACATAAATTAGTGACAGTGTTGCATGCTACGAAAAATCCAGTAGAGTTTTTGTTAAAGAAATCCAGGAGAGGTCTGAGGAAAAACCTAAGTGGTGGATTTAGAAACTGGGGTTGAGGAGCAGGGTCCAAACATCTGGTAAAGATTTTGGAGCTCCTGAAGAGGTTGCAGGAAAATCTGGTGTGATAGTATTGATAGACTTGTTGGCTGGAGATTCTCACTCAGGAAGGAGTTAAGAATTGTTTAAAATGGTCAGTTGCCCTGTTGGGCAGTATAAATTTACAGTAAATGGTAGGAGAATCGGCAGAAAACTGGGGGAAGACCAAGTTAATTAAACAGTTCTCTTTTGAGGTAAACATTTGGGTAACATAGGAAGACACTGATAGAACGAAGTCTAGCAAAACAGTTCTCTGAGGTAAAAGTCTGAGGTAAACTGGTAGGAGAATTGCTAGGAAAACTGAATAAGATTAACAACTGAACCAGTGTTCTCCTGAGGAAAACAGTTTTGGGTAACTTAGGGAGACACTGGAAAAAGAAAACTTTAGCCAGCAGAGCAATTCTCTGAGGGAGAAGTAGTAGGAGAATTGCTGAAATACTGCCTGAGCTTAACAACTGTACAGTGGACTCCTGAAGTAAAAATTTTGGGTAAAGTTAAGAAGTCCCTGAGAAAACCTATCCCGGACACATAAATAAGTGTTAGGAACAGTTTAATGTATTTTCTTAGGTAAATGTTTATGGTAATTGTAAGGAAATACAAATACATGCCCCCCCAAAGACAAAAAAAGTCAGAAATGGAAACCTAGATTTCTAAAGCAGACCAAACTTCTGAGAGATTTCATGAATTTATGCTCACAAGTACTGTTCTTGTTGAGAGTCCACAGAATTTGGAAGTACGGGAATTCAAAAATGAAATGGAAAAGGAGATAAGGCTAAGGGAAATTAAAAAAAGAAATGAGTTTAAAGGAATTGGAAATTGAAAAGGAAAAGGAAAAAGAAAAGCTGGAAAAAAGAAATGGGAAAGATGAGATTAAGGGAGAAAGAAATGGAATTAGAGGGAAATGAGGAATTAGAATTGGCAGATAGACCTTCAAATAATAAAAGATTTTAATTCGTTCCATGGAAATCACTGTCTTGCGAAAACATCGTCTTGTGAAACCCAGTTCCCCATTGGAATGCATTGAAATCTATTTAATGCATTCCAGTTGGAGAAAAAAATCACTGTCTTGCGAAAATTATCCATAGAAGAAAGACATTGTCCTGCAAAACACAGTTCCCCATACCATCTTGGGGAAAAGCAATCCCCTCACTTGCACTGCCTTTGGAAATTCAATGGGTCTCAGATAGCCTTCTCCCTTTTTCTCTCTCCAGCAACAAAGAAAGAGTTTCTTTGTTGCTGGAGAGAAAAAGGGGGTAAAAGGAATCAAACCCCCTTCTGCCCCCTGCCCCCCCCCCCAAGTCATGGTGACCTCCTGGCTGCATCTCCCACTCAGTACAGGGCTGCACAATCCCAATCCTGCCAGAGGCCAAGAGAGCTCCTCAGTGTTTTGGGGTGCCCTGCGGGACCCCCACCAGGGGCTAGGTGTTCCTCCCACAATCTCTAGTGCACAGATGCAAGGGCCATTCTAACTTACACCTTGCAGGGGAAATACCATGTCATAAAAATGGTTTTCCCAGGGGAAGGCTCATCCATTGCACTTTGGGTGTGTTGCTGATCCCTGTGATTTCCCTAAATGTGGGGAACTCAGCTGCATAATTTATTTTAATGAGAGGATTACATTTATGATTTCCCTGTTGTTGTTATTGTTTTAACAATCTCTTTATCCTTTGGTTTCTGGCTATTTTCACCACTCTCTATCATTTAAATTTGCAACCATAGCCCCATTGGCAATGCTTTGCAAGATGGTTTCTCCCCCCCCCATTGGAACACATTAATTACATAAGACCTACTTTTTTATCCCAAAAAAGTGGGAGAAGAAAGTATATGCTGGTGTTTTTCCAGGAGGCAGACCCTGAAAAGCCAGCAACATACACTTTTGTCCCAGCAGCATATAGTTTTTTGGGATAAAAAGTAGGTCTTATGTAATTAATGTATTCCAATTGGGGGGGGAAACTGTCTTGTGAAACAGGGTTTGGAAAAAAAAAACATCGTCCAGCGAAAATTGCCCATAGGAATAATCATTTTGGGAAGCACAACATTGCTCAAAAAAAGTCACCGTCTTGCGAGGCACCACAGTAGTACCAATAATTCTCCACACATAGATATGAACAGATTTCCTAGATATTATCAAGGGGGTAATGTTGATTTCCTCACAAATTTTGATAGAGCCTGTGCAGAATTGGGAATTCAAGATGAGGACAAAATGGGGTATCTTTGGTCTCAGATTTGTGGTGGCTTAGGTGAAATTTATGGAGAAATGAGAATGGAAGAAGCCAAGGAGTATGAATTATTTAAGTGCAGAGTAAAGCAAAGATTCAGTTTGATGGAAGAATACCATAGAAGGGAGTTGAGAAATTTGGAGGGAAGAAAAGCATAACGGTTACAAAGCACATTCTTGAGCTTGAAGTTACATGTGTTTTAAGAATCAACTTTCCCATGTCTGAACTAGCTCTCTCTGACTATATGTACATGGAGTTCCATTGTAAAGCTCCCATGGGTTCAAAGAACTAGTTTCATCATTCTCCAGATTTGTTCCAGTATTTTTATTGTTTTATAAAGGTTTTTTAAAAGTATTATAGCTTTTTGAGCATTTCAGGCTAAAATGGAATTTAGGTGTGTTGTATTCTTCTACAAATCTGTGTTCACTTCAACCAAACAACATTTCAGCAACTTTATTATTTTGTATTGGTGATATTGTACACCAATATCTTAAAAGTTTAGAAAGGTTTAAGAAACAGAGGATAAAATATGCAGAACCTAACACATAACCTAACCATAACACATAAGACTCATTTGGAAAGCTAGTAATCTTATATGAAAGTTTGAGCCAATAACTTGTATTGCTGACTCACAAGCAGTTTCCATGTTATGGTAATTTTATATGGATGCTTCTGATTTTTATATGACATTTTCTGGTACATTTGCTGTTACTTTTAGTTGTTTTATTTGGCTAACTTTACAGAATGGCTATTTGGAGAACAATTTTGTTCGTATTCACATTCCCATTACCTATTGGCCCTTGTGAATTCTTCTTTCTGTTCTCTAAATAGAACTCTGAGTTCTGTGTGGGTACTGCTGAAGGATCATCTTGGTTTTGTCAGTGTTTTAGGCATGTTAAAAGCTCTTGCTTACTTTTTAGCAACATAAGATTAAAATTGTGATCTGCATTTAGATGATGTAACAACTCTATTACTGGCAGTAGAAGTGTGTATATTTATCAGATAGCATATTGTAACTGGCTGCTTATCTTACTAAAAAGTGAGGATAACCATGTCTAAGAACTCAAACTATAGTTTAAAGAAGGTGCTTGGGCATCCTTTGTTCCTGTCTTTCCTGTAATTCATACAGTACTTAGAAAATCACACCTTGTAATCTACTGTTTCCTCTGCCTTGCGACAATGGCTGCTTTTCACTAGAAAGGAGAAACACAAATTCTTCTCAACTCCTTTTAAAATACATGCTTCTGGGAGGACACAGAGGGAGGAATATGTGGCTTAATATTCTTCACACATTTATTTTTTACTAAACGTGCTTGGAAGCCACTGTTTATCGTAGCATATCAAGGCAACATGCATGAGGCATAACAACAAATTTATGCCACAACATAATGCTATAAAGCAACTGTCCTGCAGTGTGTAATGCAGTTCTAAATTAGTGAAGAAAGAATACTTTAACATGTGTACGGTATAAAATTTTATCTTTTTATTTGAGGTGTTTAAATGTTTTAAGATCTGCTGGCTTAAGTCCTGTTGCACAGCTATGCAAAAGGTGTTAGTTTTGGAGGTGACTTGCCTCTACACTGGGGTCTTGACTTACGAACTTAATCCATATTGGAAGGCGGTTCTCAGGTCGAAAAGTTCGTAAGTCGAATCTGCATTTCCCATAGGAATGCATTGAAAACCATTTAATCCGTATCTGCTCTTTTCCGTCCACAGAAACTAATGGGAAGCTGCTATTCCGCCTTGTGCTACTAGAGGGGGATATTTTTTCTTTTTTCCTTTTAACTTAAGATGACTTAGATTTTTTTAAAAAGGAAAGAAAAGAGTTCGTAACTCGAATCTGAGTTCGCAAGTCGAGTCCATATATTCCTATGAGAGCAGTTCGTAAGTTCGTATGTAGAACCGTTCATAAGTCGAGACAACACTGTAGTTACGAAATCTCCATAAATGTTATCTATCCTTTAATGATAAATCAGTGCTAAACAAATAATGTCTACAGAGATGTCTTAACTTCAGGCAGATTAAGCCTTTGCATAGCAGCACAACAGGTTGAAGAACCATGGTTACAGGTAAGTAACCTCTCTTTTTCAGCAACTGGTTTGACTTTCTGGAACCAATGACTCCTCTGGGTATACTCGTCGTTGTTGTTTAGTCGTGTCTGACTCTTCATGACCTCATGGACCAGAGCATGCCAGGCCCTCCTATCTTCCACTGCCTCCCCTAGTTGTGTCAAATTCATGTTGGTTGCTTCGATGACACTGTCCAACCATCTCATCCTCTGTAGTCCCCTTATCCTCTTTCCTTCACACTTTCCCAACATCAAGATCTTTTCCAAGGAGTCTTCTCTTCTCATGAGATGGCCAAAGTACTGGAGCCTCAGCTTCAGGATCTGTCCTTCCAGTAAGCACTCAGGTTTGATTTCCTTTAGAATTGATAGGTTTGTTCTCCTTGCAGTCCAGTGGACTCTCAAGAGTCTCCTCCAGCACCACAATTCAAAGGCATCAATTCTTTGGCGGTCAGCTTTCTTTATGGTCCAGCTCTCACTTCCATCCATCACAACAGGAAAAACCATAGCTTTGACTATTCGGACTTTTGTTGGCAAGGTGATGTCTCTGCTTTTTAAGATGCTGTCAAGGTTTGTCATTGCTTTCCTCCCAAGAAGCAGGCATCTTTTAATTTCGTGGCTGCTGTCTTCGTCTGCAGTGATCATGGAGCCCAAGAAAGTAAAATCTGTCACTGCCTCCATATCTTCCCCTTTTATTGGGTAAGTGGCCATGGGACCAGTGGCCATGATCTTAGCTTTTTTGATGTTGAGTTTCAGACCATTTTTTTGCACTATCCTCTTTTACCCTCATTACAAGGTTCTTTAATTCCTTCTCACTTTCTGCCATCAGAGTGGTATCATCTGCATATTGGAGGTTGTTGATATTTCTTCCGGCAGTCTTAATTCCGGCTTGGGATTCCTCCAGTCCAGCCTTCCGCATGATGTATTCTGCATATAAGTTAAATAAGCCAGGGGACAATATACAGTCTTGTCGTACTCCTTTCCCAATTTTGAACCAATCATTTGTTCCATATCCAGTACTAACTGTTGCTTCCTGTCCCACATATAAGTTTCTCAGGGTATACTAATCTTCTGATCAGCCTTCTCCCATCTCCCTCTTTATTGATGATGCTTTTGCCTCCTCAGTCCAAATCATCTTGAGGATGGGATCCACATTGACTGTTATGTAGAAGAAGCAGCCCATACGCTTACTATGGGTGCTTTACAGGCTACATAAGTCTTTTTTTTTTGTGGTGTGAATTTTCAATAGCATGGTATTTGTTTTGATGGATGTAATTTGTTAGTGTTTCGAGGCTTTTATTTCTGATCAGAATTTCAATTATCCTAGTACATTGCCAATTTAACCACCGTTAGGGTCACAGTTTGTTGGACGACTACTGGATTCGATAAAACTGGTTGGTTTCAGATTTCACATGAAATTATATTAGTCTCACTGTGGAGATCAGCAGTTTTTAAATCAAAAACTAACAGCTCTCTTTACTGTTGAGCTGGTAACAAAAAGGAATAAAGCAGAATTGATAATACTGTATAGGAATAGGAAAATTACTTTAAATTCCATCTCAAAGTACCTACTTCTTTCATAGAAATAAAGCAAGATTTGGGTGGAAGCTGGGAAACTGTATTACTGTATATGTTAGCCTCTCCACATTTATGTAGTTAATGGAAATAGAATAAAAGTCCAGTGAAGATATAATTGACTATTTTTAAGATGTTTTAGTAAATCAACACAGTACTTCATTTATTTTATTAAATGGTCAAATATTCTTATTCTTCTAGGCAAACAAATATTAAAAATATATGATGGGAATGATGCAGTAAAACGCAACCACTATCGTCTAATTATGGTTCCAAGGATTGCCAAAAATGAAGAAGTTGTGGTCAGTAAGAGAGGCTTTTATTGTTACTCATTTCTGTGTATCCTAAGACAAGATATTAAAACTTTATTTAAAAATGTATTTATTGAACAGTAGACAATTGAAGTTTAATTTGTTGTGATTATTGTTAAAACTGCAAACGTGTAACTCGAATTGGTAATATAAATTCATAAGTTGTCAGTTCCAAAATAAACAGTAGGATTTACAGAGTTCCTTTGCTTTTGAACTCCTAATGGTACAATTGCCACTGACTTCTTCAGAAGCATGTTGTTGTTTTAAAATTGTCCTCCACAGCTGGCATTTTTTTCTATGCAGATGGCAAATCTCTGTTAGCTGGGAATAATGAGACCCAATCCATCTGAGAACTGTGAGGCTGAGGAAAATTCTGTGTCCTAGAGCAGAGGATCTTGTGTACCTATTCTTTTAAAAGCAAATACATATGCTTACAAACATTGGGTGGAAAGTAAATAGTACAATATATACAGTGGTGCCTTGCTTAATGATTACCTCGTTAAAAAACAAATCTGCTTTACGATGAAGTTTTTGTGATTGCTATTGCAATCGCAAAACGATGTTCCTATGGGGAAAATTCGCTCAATGGTGATCGGTTCCCTGCTTCGGAAACCGATTTTTCGCTAGATGACGATTCTAAAACAGCTGATTGGCGGCTCTAAAACTGGCCGCCCGCTGTGCAAAATGGCTCCCCGCTGTTTTTAGCACGGATTCATCACTTTACAGGCACTGGAAAATGGCCACCCTGTGGAGGATCTTCGCAAGACGAACAGGTATTTCGCCTGTTGGAACACATTGAACGGTTTTCAATGCATTTCAATGGGTTTTTAAAATTTACTTGACGACGATTTCACTTAACAGTGATTTGAACAGAACGGATTATTGTCATCAAGTAAGGCACCACTGTAGAAGTAAATTTGAACTATCCTTGGATATTTCATAAATGTTAAAAGCCTTTTCAAACCTCTAACACTATTGCTAAAACTAATTTTTCCATAGAAAACTGGAAAGCAGTAGTTTTCAGCTTATGGGAAGTGTGGAGGTGTTTCCCTTTTCTCAGAGGGAAATTTTTAGAGAGCATGTCAATAAATAACAATGTTTAATGACTTAAATTGCCATTAATGTTCCTCTTTTAAAGAATATACTGTACTACATGAATTAATTGAATTTTGCCCTTTAAGCAGAAAACATAATGAATATAATGTTAATGCATTATTTGCAAACTCAGAAATGGAAGTCATGACATGTTGGAACATATTGGTTCTTCTACATGACTCTCTTTCTCTTTGATAGTCAGAAAACAGGATTCCTGTCTTCTTGCAAAATTGAATTCTGTCTTTGGAGGGCTTCTGTGTTGTCTTTTCTCTTGTTTTTCAGCACTTCTTTAACATCTACTATCTTTTGCCTGACAGTATTTGTATTGTTTGGGATTTGTTGGGGGGTGGTGGCTTGGTAATGGAAGAATGCCAGGCTAAATTTTTGCTTATATACTACCTAAAATCCTGTTACTTATCATAATAAATTGCATTGGAATAGGACTATTGAATCAATGGAGATTTAGTGAGTTAACTCCCCCTTAAGTTCCATTGATTCAAGTAGGCCTACTCTAATTATGACTCACTACACTAAGCAAGAGGATTTTCATCACCAAAGGGCCTCCAGTTGCCAACAAAGAAGATTAGCGAAATTGGTACGTAGTTCATAGTTTATGGGGGAAATACTTTAATTAGGCCATTTAGCTTCCTGTCTTCTGCTTAAAATAAATAAATATTCTGCTAAATAAATAAATAAATCTAATAATAAATACAGTAAATACTTCTCACTCCAGGAAAAAGTAACTACTTAAAAAACCCTTTTTTGTATTGACATTCACATGGCAGGATTACATATTAGTATTTCTTTACTGTTGTAGGAAGCTTCACTGAGGGCATATTACATCAATGATGATCCACAAGATTACGAGCTTCAAACATTTACTCAGCAAGGGTTGTTTTGTGATGACATAATTAATAGAAATGATACTGCAGAAGAAGCCCAAGCTGCATCTGTGTTCCGAGAAGCTGTTCCTGAAGCTTGGATAATCAGAGCCAAACCTAGGAACAGTGAAGTCATAAAAATTTACCCTGGTTGGCTGAAGTGAGTAATTCCAAATAGTGATTATTTGTATTTATAAACTTTATATTTATAAAGGAAATGAGAAGTTAAGTGGTTTAAATGTTCTGCCCTGCTTGTCTTTGTGAATAAATTAAAATGGCTTATAAAATCATTGAAATTCTTCTGAGCAATCACTATGCTCTGTCTATGGAAAATTGTAGGCAATGATGCCTTTTAGTTTTATCAGAAAATCAAATTATATGTGCCTCAAGCTGTTTCTCTTTTTGCAAATTTTATCTGTACATTAAGAACTATTAACTAAAATTTCCCTGTTTGTATCCATAATGAAAAATTAGGAAGAACTTATTGCATATGTGGTGCTGTTTGGAGGGTGAAAAAGCATATATTACTTGAGGATCCTCTTTCATGATTACCTCCAGAACATGTAGTTGATTTTAGTTGTTAGTATATGTTGTTGATTGGATGGAAGGCTCAATGAGCCAGAGGTTGGGAGTTTAATTTTTTACTATGCCTTCTTGGAGAAAAAATAGGCAGTATAGCCTTGAACAAGTTACCCAGTATAGCCTGGGTAATTAACTTGTAAACAGCCCAGAGAGTACTTTAAGCACTATGGGGCGGTATATAAGCAGCACACTTTTTTTTTGCTTTTATTCCTAAAAAGCCCTGATAAGGGTCACCAAAAGTGAGAATCTGCATGACAGTACACAGTTACTAATTTCATGATGTTAATCTCTAAAAAACTAATTATTAGACAAATGGTCATTCAATCATTTTACATTGTTCTTTATTTTAAGTGAAATATTCAGAATTGTGTCCTCTCATTCCAAATCTTTTCCTTGACTGTGGCCTTCCAGAAAGGTTGTTGGACTAACATCCATCAGTGCTTATCAGCATAACCTTTGGGGAGAGATAATGAGTGTTGAAGTCCAACAGCAGAGCCACAGGTGGGCAGTTAAAGGTCCAAAGTTGCTCACCTTCGCTAACCACTCATAGATTATCTTCTCATAAACTGATATCCTGATGCCACTTCCATCTCTACTTGTGTATGATCTTGGAAGTGATCCTGGCTGTGGGAAAAATATATTGGAGAGAGAAAGTTACAAGTGATGGAAAGTTCAGTACCTTTAACTAGGCACCCATTATGCTCTCAAAATAAGCCATAGCATTTGGTTCATCCATGATTGGGACAAATATGCATGTAATTGTGTTCCTTTATCATGGAGTTCTGTATCAAGGAATTAGTTGTTCAAACTGCAGGGTCAATGTCATACATTCCTTTTTTTACATGGTGAGTGCTCAGTGCTGGTGTCTAAGCATAATGGCAGAACAAGTGTTTGCTGCCGATGTTCCTATAATGCTGCTCACCTTGCATCAATGATCTTCTTTGCTAGGATAGGAATGGCCTGTGTCTCAATAAGAATAAAGAAAGAAAGCACTACACAGATGGTTATTAAAGAGGTTCTGGCACAACTTGGATACCAGGTAAATAATATTAAATGGCTAATTATCTTTTTCTTTGCTTGCTTCCTTCTTCTCTCCTCTTCTGTTTTGCTTTCCTTGTATGAAGTTGCATAATTGAAGTTGTGGAATTCGTGACTTTAGCACAGGCCTATTTACAGTGTCAATTTATTCCAGTATATTAAGAATATGAATGGGAGAGGAAACAAGAAGAAAAATTAGCTCAATGGTCTTCTGAACTATGTGTTCTCATTTCCAGACTTTCCCTGCAGTATCTGACAATATATCAATGTTCTGGCAGTACTGCAGTGAACAAACTTTGTGTTTCAGAATCATTTTGAATGACACTGTTTTACTGTACAATATGAGAGTGTCAGTATATTTGAGTGGGAGAGTTATAATGGAAAAGGGAAATTAAAGATCAAAAGCACAGCCATAGTCATATTTCTACTACTTCTTCATAGCCTCCGTGAATCACACCCTGGGGTGATCTGTGCATGCGCGGAGCCTCATTGGAAAGTTCTAGAGCTTCTGCGGTAGCAAAAAAACACAATAAGCCCCTCCCCCTCATATAAGTACCACAGAGGGATGTGGTAGTGCTGCAGGTTAAACTGCAGAAGCCTCTGCAGGGTCAGAAGACCAGCAGTCATAAGATCGAATCTATGCAACGGAGTGAGCTCCCGTTGCTTTGTCCCAGCTCCTGCCAACCTAGCAGTTGAAAAGCATGTACAGTAAATGTGAGTAGATAAATAGATACCACCATGGTGGGAAGGTAACAGCGTTCCAAGTCTAGTCACGCTGGCCACGTGACCACGAAAACTGTTTCCGGACAAACACTGGCTCTATGGCTTTGAAACGGGGATGAGCATTGTGACATAGCAGGCCACTCTGATGTCACCCCCAATTCAGGCCTTTCAGAATGCCCACCACACCACCTCACATTCGCTGCCACCAATTATAATGACTATTCAAGAAGGACAAAGGTTTCCTTCAAAACAAAACAGGTTTATTGAAATAATAAAATAAAATATGTAAATCACAAGTAGCTAATCACGATGTCAATCACTGTTTCTTATTTAATCAATCACAGACTTTCTCTCACTGAATACGTAGGCACACAGGCCTCTAAACAAGCTCTTTCTCTCTCACACTCCAGATCTGAACCTCTCCCTCACACTTCACACCCTTTTTCTTCCAACTCCTCCCCCTCCAGCTCCACCCTCCGTCACCCCATTGGCTGATGATCCACTGCCCAGCTGTGACGGACAGATGGAGTCAGGGCTGCCTGTTACAAGCACCATGCCCTAGAGTTGGACACGACTGGACTAAATGTCAAGGGGAACCTTTACCTTTACCTTAACCTGCCCTTGCTTACTTTCTTACTTGCTTGCTTACTTGCATACTTACTTAATTACAGTGGTGCCTCGTTTAACGGGTGCCCCGTTTAACGATGAATCTGCATAGCGAAGAAGATTTTGTGATTGCATTGAGATGTTCCCTATGGGAAAAAATCACTTTGTGACGATCGCTTCCCCCCCCCATCATCGCAAATGCCCCATTTTTGCGGGACGTTTGCGATGATGGGGGGGAAGCGATCATCGCAAACGACCCATTTTCCCACAGCTGACCTTTGCTAAGATCGCGTGGCCCTGCGATCAGCTGTGCGAAAATGGGGCGTTTCTGACGATTGCTTCCCCCCCATCATCGCAAACGCCCCGTTTTTGCACAGCTGATCGGCGGGCCTTTGCTAAGATTGCACGGCCCTGCCGATCAGGTGTGCGAAAATGGGGCGTTTGTGACGATCGCTTCCCCTCAATCATCGCAAACGCCCCGTTTTCGCACAGCTGATCGGCGGTTCCAAAATGGCCGCCGGGAAAAAAATGGCCGCCCGCAGCATTTTCACGCCCTTTCCTTGCTTACCGGGCAGTGAAAATGGTGGCCAAATGGAGGATTTTCACTTAAAGGTGAGTTTTTTCCCCCATAGGAACGCATTAAACGTGTTTTAATGCGTTCCTATGGGGTTTTTTGCCCCACATAGCGACAAATCCGTATAGCAACGATTTTTTCAGAACGGATTATCGTCGCTATGCGGGGCATCACTGTACTTAAAATATTTTTAGCCTGCTTTTCTCCTTAAAAAGGACCCAAGATGGTTTACAACATTGAAAGACAATATTTGAAGTTGAAAATGATGAGTATACAAAAGTGGATAACATCATTAAAAGATAATACAGTGATGTCCCGCTTGATGCTTACCCCGCATGATGTCGAAATCGCTTTACGATGAGTTTTTTGCAATCACTATTGTGATCGCAAAACAATGGTTCCAATGGGGTTTTTTCGCTTGACGTCGATTAGGAGCCTGCTTCGCCAACCGTTTGTCCGCTAAACAACAATTTTTCCAGCTCCACAAAATGCCTTCCTTTTGTAAAATGGATTCCCTCCGGACCCCTGCTTTGGAAGATAGCGATTTTAAATAGCTGATTGGCTGTTCTCTATGGGCAGTCTTCGTTGGACGATGAGGTATTTCCACATTGGAACGCATTGACCGGTTTTCAGTGCATTCCAGTGGGGTTTTTTCCACTTGACGACGATTTCACTTAACAGTGATTTTCCTGGAACAGATTATCATCATCAAGCGGGGCACCACTGTATTTAAAACTAAGAGTAATGAATAAAGAGGCATCTGACATTTTAGATACTATTAGAGCTAAGAACCTAAGTCCTAGAATGAGCTGGAATTTTTCGTATGTATACATTACTGAAACAGCAACGTCTACGTTGTCTTGGGTACTTCGTGAGAATGGCTGATGGTCGGATTCCAAAGGATCTCCTGTATGGAGAATTAGTGCAGGGAAATCGCCCCAGAGGGAGACCACAGCTGCGATACAAGGATAGCTGCAAGTGGGATCTCAAGGCCTTAGGAATGGACCTCAACAGATGGGAAACCTTGTCATCTGAGCCTTCAGACTGCAGGCAGGCGTTGCATCATGGCCTCTCCCAATTTGAAGAGACCCTTGTTCAGCAGGCCGAGGCAAAGAGGTAGTCCCAAAACCAGCAAAATCAGGGAGCTGGAGAGTGGACAGATTGTATTTGTCTTTAGTGTGGAAGGGATTGTCCCTCTCGAATTGGCCTTCTCAGCAACACTGGATGCTGTTCTGGGTCCTCTATTCGGAGCAGGTTGCATGGTCTCTCAAGACTGAAGGATGCCTAAAGAGCTAAGAACAATAACTATACTTAAAAAAATGCCACTTTGAGAAATGGAAAATACAAAAATGGAAAACAGAAGTAGCACTAAAAATCCAGTCAAAGCAGTAATGCATAACAATCCACCTTTTTAAAAAGCACACAGGTAACTAGTTACTGTGGGAAGGCTTGCTTGAAGAGAAGGGTCTCTGCCTGCCTGGAGAAGGACAGCAAAAATGAGGCCAGTCTGGCCTCCTGTGGAAGGGAGTTCCAAAGTCTGGGAGCAGCAATAGACCCTACAAAATGCACTTGTGAAGGTGGTGGGACCAAGCGAAAGGCCTCTCATGATGATCTTAACACCTGAGCTGGCTCATAATGAGAGATACGGTCTTTGAGATAACTTGGACCCAGGCCATTTAGGGCTTTATAGGTTAAAACCAGCACTTTGAATTGTACCCAGAAGCTGATTGGCAGCCAGTGGAGCTGCTGCAACAGGTGGGTTATGTCAGTAGTTCTTAACCTTTTTGAAAGAAACGCCCCTTGAGCCATTGAGGATGTTATCATTGCCCCCCTCCCCACGGCAATATCTTATTCATTCATTCTTTCATTCTTTCATTCATTCATTCATTCATTCATTCATTCATTCATTCATTCATTCATTCATTCCAGACACTTAAAACCAATGATCCCTGAAAATAAAATTCAATTGCAAGAAAATGAAATGCCCGAAAAAAACAGTAACATTTAATGATTTAGTTACAAGTGAATTTAAGATGCAAAAAGAAATATAAAAAGGGCATAAAAACAAACCGCAATGCAGGAACTAAACATTTTAAGATGAAAACTCTGAAATTAAATGAAGATTCGAAGAAAATATTTATTCATGCACACTACAAAAAGGTTTTAAAAGACACAAAGAAAAATTTTACAGAAGGAAAGCAACAAAAATCAGAGTGACAAATTATATATATATATTTTTACACAAAAAGTTTACACAAAGAGCACAAAAAAATTGAAACCATAAAACTGAGAAACCAAAATATAATATCAAACTGGGGTGCACGTTAAAAAAGAGTACAATACTAAGAGACACACAAAATGTTTTACAGAGCACAGCAAGAATTCAAAAATGAAGCAAACATCGTCAGACTGTATAAGAACAAAGGAGACAGGGGTGATTGCAATAACTACTGTGGCATCTCTCTGCTCAGTGTTGTAGGGAAGCTGCTTGCCCGTGTTGTGCTGAAGAGACTCCAGGTGCTTGCAGGCAGAGTCTTTCTGGAATCACAGTGTGGATTTCGAGCTAATAGATCCACCACTGACATGGTATTCTCCCT